GTTTCAAAGACGAAAGTAGAAAAGGTAGAAAAAAGATGAGGTAGGTACTGTGGAAGTAGTCGAATATGACATACAGTGGGGTGATTGTAGTTTGAAGTCAGAAGTCAACTGCCGTATGAGTATACGTTGCCCAGGGTGCACCACGTGGAGGTACGTCTATCGCACACCCGGCCTATTTAACATAATTTATTAGAAAAGGCATATGTAAGAAAAAGATTTACCTCTCTCTATTTCCATTCCTCAACACTCATACAGAGAACCAGTCTGCTATTGAGCTGTTTGCGGCATTGAAAATTCAATTATAGTTTAGCTCCCTTTCAACCACTTACAGATTGGTTAGCTTGGTCGAATGCGACACTAATCTACGTTAAGCTATTTATTCAAAGGGAGAAGAGAAATGTGTGTGCCAAGATTAGAAAACAGCCAAAAACACTTTTTCCTCTTCCCCACACTATTTACTCACCTTGTCGCCCTCAATGTCTCTAAGGGTGAGAAAAATTTTTTGATATCGCAACTTCTACTCTTGTATGATTTACTCTCCTGGAATAGAAATACCCGATTCTGCTTGTAAATAGGAGGATTAGTAGTAATTTTGAGTCATTTAACTGTTAACTAATAATATCTATTTATGTATATCAAATTGGCTGGCGTTTTGAAAGTTATCTTTTGCCCTTTAGTTGACTTCAGGCTTCACAAAGGGGAAGAAATATCAATGTGATAAAAGTCGACAGTGGGGGGGGGGACAGAAGAGTGCTTTAGAGATGTAAAAGAAACAGACATAAAGGTGGAATAAAGGTGAGGTGAGTACTTATGACTCAAATCACCATGTACCATGTCAAAATGAGTTTATCCATCTGCTATCTGTTACTGTTTCGTATCACTTAAAATCAAATACGAATTCATACCCTTCGGGGGTTGGTGGCGAAATAACCTCCGTAATTTGGGGTTTGCTTTGATCGTGCTCTTACTCCTCATTTCCATTCTCCCCTCCCCCCCCCCATCTCTTCATCTTAGTCTCTCGAAACCGCGTCGTGGATGATTCAACACTCATGGACCTAGGCGACACATGGGGTTATGATTTTTTAATTGCATTTCGTTATCTCCTACATTTTGTTACTGTAAAAAACAAACCGTTAGCCCTGAGAGAATACATCTCTCTGCATTACAAAGGCTGCATGAGGTCTACTCTGATAACTGGAGTTAACCACAGACGCAGGTTAACGCTTATCAAATATTAATATTATATCAAATGGCAGGCGTTTTGATAGCTATCATTAACCCTTTAGTTGACTGTTGGCTTCCCAGAGGGGATGGAACATCAAAGTGAAAAAAAGTCGAGAGGGAGGGGAGGAACAGAAGAGCTTTTCAAAGATGTAAAAGAGACAGGCACAAAGGTAGAAAAAGGTGAGGTAAGTACTATGGAAATGATCGAAAATGACATGGAGTCAGGTCATGGTAGTTTGAAGTCAGAAGTCAACTGCCAGTTTATAGACTTTTTTGCGGTATGAGTATACGTTGCCCAGGGTGCACCAAGTGAAGGCAGGTCTATCGCACATCCCCGTTTATCAAATATAAAATTGCTAAAAGCATCTGTTTTACTTTATCAAAATGTGATACGCCTTTGCACAGTGTACTTATTATTCAGGACTTGACATGAAATGGAATACAATGCGAAACTTGATTGAAAACTTGCAGTCCACACTTTAGGAGAGTGTCGATGCTATTGAATGGAAAAACTTAGACACAGCACATCTGCACTGCATGCATACAAGCTTAAGTTCCAAAAGACGAGACAAATTAAATAATAGTCAATGAAACAGTAAACCTGAGAGGTACCTATATGGTCCTTCATGTCAATTAATTGAGCAGATTATAATTGTATCACACTTGATTTCTCATGTAGGCAGAACGAAGCCCCTGAAGCTGAGGCCTGTAATTCTGTATAACATTTTTACAGTATTATTAGTGTATTGTTACTGTTAATGTGGTTAATACGTTGAACCTGATCTTATCTGACTCGTTAAACCAGGAATCATCCAAATCATAGACGGTATACTTTTCATGAATGTGGATTAACCGAATGGCTAATAATAAGGCCATGTGAAGCGAGTATCGCGTTATTCGTCTTCTTGGTGGCTTTAGAAATCGAGCATAAAGATATTCCAGCAGATGTGGAAGTTCATGGAGGCCAACCCCGATGTTTTGGCACGAGATGTCAAAGAGGGTGTTCGGAAAGTCATCGACTCTAACAAAGACTACGCCTTCATTCTCGAATCCACCATGAATGAGTATTTCAACCAGCGCAAACCATGCACAACCATGAAGGTTCGTTAATTTTTCCAATGCCTTACACATTCTTGCCATTAAATACAACGATACAGCATTACTTTAATAAGTTTTCTTCTGAGTAAAGTTAGCTGAAATAGTCTTGCTCCATTTGATTTGTGAATTGTATGGACGTCCAACATTTACAACTTCATTTGAAGTTTTCATTTCTTGGAGATTAACTTGAATTATCGGCATCTTCACTCTCCATTTCAACCAATCATATAACTTAAAATGAGTTGACGACGCTTTCATGACATTTAAATACTGAATCCATTTTCAACTAGAAATGTACGCTTTTGGTATTTTTCAAAAACTGAAAACACTGACGGTGATTCACACAAAGATAAATTCAAGAAAAATTTCGCTTAAAGGAGAAATGAGAGTGACAAATCGAAATGTTGAATCCCAACTTCTTTTCTGTCAGGTGATAGGAAGGCAAAATATGTCGGGGTTTTCTGAAAGTCCGTGGGCGCTTATTCGAGTGGGCGGTTATTTTGCTCCAAGAAAAGAAAACCTGTTTTATGAAATGAAATTTTCTGTTTAACCGCCCTGGGCGCACTTTCGGTAAACCCCGGTAGTGGTTATAGCGCAGGTGTTAAACAATCGAAGTCAGAACTAAGGCAAATTTGTTACCATAGTGCAATTAACAGGAACTAATGTGAGGAAGATGAAAATTTCCTATTCGTCTATGATCGTAAAATCTTTTCGTGTGAACAGTGATGAAGTTATTGAAGTTTCGAACATCCAAGTTGTTTCCTGTGATGCATTAAACGATAACACAACCAGCAGATAACTGAAATTGGAGTAAAGTTTTTTTCGTTCATTCTGCCCTCTTACAGAATTTGCATACAACACAAATAGTCAAAGTTATATTAATATGCTCATTTATTTATTAATAAAAAAAACTTTCGTGCTAAATTATTTTGCCATTTAATTCTAGTATATTGAATTGAGGCCAGTGAAGAGTTGGAATTTTCATGAAATCAATGTGCTCGCCACAAAACTCAAATTATTTACCAATATCTCCACTTGAGAATTAAAAGGTGGAAAAGTCACTTTTAGTTTAATATTCACTATTAAAATATTGATGTATCAAAGATGAAACTCATTTGATTTTTCTGCATTTACTAGTATTTGAGTCATATTTAACACCTCTTTGAAGGGCTAATTAATAGACATTTTAATTTATTTTCATTTTCCTCGATTTTTCCCGACCAACCAATCAAGTACTCTTCGAAGGATCCATTCACTTTAGAAATCGTTATACATTGATCTGTAGCGGATTTCCACCTTAGTAAGGCCTGACCGACTCAGAAATCTCTATGGCAGATTCTCAAACATCTAGCTAGACCGACTCAGAAATCTCCATGGCAGATTCTCAAACATCTAGCTACCGGCTCAGAAATTTCTATGGCAGATTCTCCAACATCTAGCTAGGAATCAGAAATCTCTATGGCAGATTCTCAAACATCTAGCTAGACTCTTAGAACCAGCTAGGCTATAGCTCAGCTATAAAGGAAACAGACGTGTAGCATGGAGCACGTTTATTCAGTACGTATATTGCGGATCAAGTGTACACGCAGGGAGCTACTCATGATCAGGATGGGGGATTAGGTTAAACAGAGGTTGATGATTGGTCACTGTTTGTACGATCGCTGCACACAGAGTTGTACGGCCGCACCTCCCAATCCTGGCAAGCAGACATGCAGGCATACGATGACACACACAGCGATAACGTGTCCCACAGATTCATTCACTTTAGAAATCGTTGAACATTGATCTATGCATCGATAAACAGAATATATTAGATTAGAAATAAAAGGCATGTAAGGCAAAGTTTTGTAAATTTGGTTTCGTCTCTTAGTGTAAATTGTATGTTCATGTGAGTTTAGGAATAAAGTAATAAGAACCCATTGAGATTTCAAAAAAATGAGGTCACATTCAAAGATTAATAAACAAATCTGATCTACGAGGAACTGAAATCTTGAATTCAGTTTCTTAAGAATTATGAGTGAATCAAAAGCTTGTCAATGAAAAACAACCCGATGTGAATTCATGAAAGCCGGTTTGTTGATGTCAAAGGAATTCGACGGCAAATCAAGAGCGAAATTTGTATGAAGTCGCTTTTTACAGGCATTTATCTTGTTCATTTGAAATCATTTTCATAAGATATAAAACACTTTAGTAAGTTTAAAATTTCAAAAATAAACAGATTTCTTGCGAAATCGTAAGATTTTTTATTTGAAAAAGAAACTGTGGAAATTAATTTGTTTTATCAAATAAAATTAAAAAATTCTGACATTAGAATTGTTGAAATCATCCTAAACAAATAGGGGTCTCTGATGTTTTACAAGTCATTCGAATTAAATTCAAAATAGTTAGATTTGAAGCTGGTTTTTGTAATTAATTAATTGAACTTGAAATTTTATAATGCAAAGCAAATTTGGTTAAACTTATGGATCATGTCTACGTAGAATGTGAATATCGATTACTGAAAATATATGCAAGTGAAGTTCAGAATCTACTAGTCACTTTGGCTACTCAAACTTGGACCATTTAATTAATCGCCCTCTCATTTATGTCTGGTCATTAACTTCAAAAAATGATGTATTAAGTTATGAATGAAAGGTGCTTTCCAAATACCTCTGAACAGGTGTAATACAACACATTGAAAACCATAATCAAACACCAACACTTCATTGCTACTATTTTGTCAACGGTGCCATTGTTTCAGGTACGAAGCTCCTTAATGCTAGGTTTTAAATATTTATTTATTTCAAATGGCAGGCAGTTTAATAGTTATCATTAGCCCTTTAGATGGCTTCGGGCTTCCCAGAAGGGAGGAACATTAAAGTGAGAAAAACTCGACAGGGGAAAAGAAGAGCGATTCACAGATGTAAAGGGGACAGACAGACATAAAGGCAGAGAAAAGGCTAGATGAGTTCTGTGGAAGGGGTCGAATATGACATGCAGTCGGGCCATGATAGTTTGAAGTCAGAGGGCAACTGGCAGTTAATAGACTTTTTTACCGTATGAGTATACGTTGCCCAGAGTGCACCACGTGGAGGTAAGTCTATCGCACACCTCCAGTTTTGCAAATTTTAGTGACTTTCTAACATTCCAATAAGGGTTGTTCAAAAATGCTCAGAGGGTATGATATGAATAGGAGTCGATGAGATTGTGGAAGCTACGTGTCCATGTGATGGATATCTCTCGATGCATATTTCAAAAGTATCCTTCATTTCTATGCTCTACGAAAATACGTTGACATTTCGTCTGAGTACCTGTGGTGATGTCATTATGTCCATTTGACCTGAGCTACCACACTGGCTTGGACGTCTCCTGATAAATCGGCTTTAATAACACAATGACAAGACATTTTAAAAGGCGGGTGGTAAGAGGTTTGGAGAATTTTCTGATCTTATGATTAGGCACCGCCAATTACAACCAACAAACCAAAGTAAAACTCGAAACACCTAATTTTATATTGAGTGTAGCAATTAAATACATAAAGGGCTAAACGTTCTTGATGCCCATCTTTATCTGCCTTTCCAATGATAGCCCTCAAACCTCTACCCATGACTATCGACAAATTTTTTACCACCGAAGGTAAGCACTCAGCGTGGAAAGAAGGCAAAATTTGGACTTTTTCAGACTCATCAGCTCAACTCTCATCAAAACTACGATTCTCGTTTACTTACAAAATTTTATTTAAATTACTATATTTGGTGCTGTTTTGTGGACATAGCGTTTGATCATACCAAATAAAGGCACAACAGATGCGGGACTTATAAAATGTTGTACATTAAAGAGATTGATATGGATCAAAGGTTGTTTTGACTAGATACATGCATTGAGTTTAACGACGGGCATTTTTACTACAATTCAGGTGGGTCCAAATCTGGATAGTGGAAAGGGCTATGGAGTAGCAACGCCTCCAGGCTCTGATCTACGTGATCGACTAAATTTGGCGGTTCTCGAGCTCAAGGAGATGGATTGGATCGCCCAACTCTACCGAACTTGGTGGGAGGAAAGAGGCGAATGCGGAGAGGCATCAAAGTCCACTGACGTAAGCTCTAACGCCTTCTGCTTAGCTTTCCGCAATTTCGAGAAATTACTATTATACAATACCACCAATATTTATTTAAATCAAATGGCAGGCGTTTTGATGGTTATCATTAGCCCTTTAGTTGTCTTCAGGCTTTGCAGAGGGGAAGGAACATCAACTTGAAAAAATTCGAGAGGGGGGGGGGAGAGGAGTGTTTCAAAGATGTAAGAGACGAACACAAAGGTAGAACAAAGGTGAGGTGAGTACTGTGAAAATAGTCAAATATGGCATAGAGTGGGGTGATGGTAGTTTGAAGTGAGAAGTCAACTGCCAGTCAATAGATTTTTGTGCCGTATGAGTATACGTTGCCCAGGGTGCACCACGTGGAGGTAAGTCTATCATCGTGTTAAAGCACAAGAGATTGGCTGGGAGTAAAAATAAATAAAAGATAAGGGAGAATGAATCAATAGGAAGTCGAGACTTTTGATAGGGGGATTAAAAAGATGTGTTTCTCTTGATATCTGAGCCATACTATATCATATTTGCTCAATAAAGGGCTTGCGTTCCACCATTCTAAAAACATGCCACTAGATTCGAAGTATTCAGGACGTATGCAATTGAAGTAACTCATTCTCCCATAGTATAGCTACTTTATTAGTCAGCACGAATTGAGCATGACATTTGTCATCAGACCAGTTATTTCTCGAAGGCTTGGGGGATTTGAGGGCCTATGTCGTGTGGGAGGAATGCGGGAGAAATGATAGCGTGAAGAGTGCAACAACGTAATTAGGAGGGGAGAGACGGAAAATTGGCTTGTAAACTGAAAGCTATTTAACCCTATCCAATGCAAGTCAGTAAGCCAATAGAAAATCACCAACTGGCAATTGAGTATGAACGCAGTGCACAAAGTTACAGAGCAATCCCATGAGTCAATTAGGGCTTATGATGTTCAGCAGCAAATTGACAGGATAATTTTTATTGGAATACAAGTTGAAAGTTAGGAAAATAAGTTAAAACATGCGAACATGCTTTTGGATGAAGTGATTGTGCAAGTCATATAGTAATTCCCAACAAACTATGAAGCTTTTACAAGTACTTAAATGCGTATTTTGGGTTGTCATATTTTACTAAAGCTTTGGTGGAACGTCTATTTTTCCTTTGATAAGTCAAGGTCAAAGGGTATGTCCAGGCACCTTCTTTTGTTGCTCTGCGACTGCCAAGTTTAGTAGTTAGGGGTCGTTAGTAATAACCTTTCTTGGCTTGTAGGGGTGAACTGCATTTGTATACAAAAGAATGATGAATGATAAAAACAATAAAATTCTTCTTGAATTTGCGGTTAATAATAATAGAAAAGGAAGCAATATTGGATAAAATTTAATATCTTCTTCCTAATTTCCTATTTGTTTAAACTCTTTCCATAAAGAGAATATCAGCTAATGCTATTTCGATTAAATAATTATTAGGCTAGAGGCCAGTTTGTGTGCCGTAAAAGTTAAATAAATAATTTTCTCTTTACAGAAAAATTCCGCGACAAGTTCATTGGGTTTGGACACTGTTTACGGTCTCTTCTACTTGCTTGCCGGAGCACTGGTGATTGGAATTGCCTTGGCCATTCTCGAATTCATCTATCGCTGTGCCGTTGAGGCCAAACGAAACAGGGTACCCATTTGTCAATTTAATAGTAAAATAACTTCATCATATTTGGCATGTCCATTTTTTTGTAAATCTGACCATTACGTAACAGCAAACCAGCAGCAATTTGGGGGAGAACTTCTCCTTTGACGCAGACAAGGAGACTGCGGTAGGGAATTAAAATAAGCCATTTTGTTTTCCTTAGTGAAAATATATTACCTAGATTGCAAGTTAAATAAGAAATTCTCCGCTTATTTTATTGAGTATGCTTTATCTAAATGTTCGGGGGAGAATATCTGTCGCTACCTTTTCTCCCCACCCCAGCCCCATCTCCCCCGTCCAGTCACCAATAATCTTTTAGCATATTGTTTTAAATTTAAATTGCTTTCTTCCATTGTCATAGTTGCATAGACTTTCAATCTTTGAAAAAACCGCCAACATCTAACTGTTAATGCTGGAAAATGTAGTACTTTGAAAATAGTAGATCAAAAACTGCGAATACCTTAAAGTTCTTTGGTCATGGAATTGTACCTCAAGTTGGGAAGGCACTCGTAAGGTGTGTGGTGGGTGACAAGTTGATTCTGTCCGAATTGTCCAAAACGTAGTGTCTGGGATTTAGTCAGAGGGTTCTGAATTGGTTGATTTTAGCAAATATTTTAAAACTAACAATTTTCCAATTTAATATTATTAACCTGCTGACGGATTGCATGAGTTGCTTAGATATTAAACCTGGAGCAGGGAAATTGGGTAACATCTAGGATGATTTTGCCTTTTGGCAAAATATTGACAAACAAAACACTTTTTAACTCAACAAGAGGAAATTTATTTCGATAAGTAAATAAATAGCAACATCGGGGACGAGCATTTGTGGCAATTTACAGTTCATAAATAATGTGCGATCCGAATTTAAAAAATCCGATTGAATGAGACAGATTAAAATTGTGACGTCACTCAACATCTGCATAAACTCCGTTCCTTTATCTGTCTTGGGACTTTCAGCTAACCAATTTTGTTACAACTCAAAATTAAATATGCCTAAATATTTCCATTCCTGTGGATAATAATATTAAAATGACAGTCTGAATAGCTAATAATGATTTCTTTTTTCATTCAAACATACTGACCAAAAACAAATATATGAACTATTCATTTGCATAAATATCTTACGAATCGTGGATTTGACATTTTCGATCTAAATTAAATTATTTCTTCTGCCTAATCATTTTACTGACAATTTGATTGCAATTTATGGATCCCGGGATGTGAGATATACTTATCTCCACGTGCTACACCCTGGACAACGCACACTCATACAGCAAAAAAAGTATATTAACCGAAAGTTAACTTCTGGCTTTAAATTACCATGGCCCCGCTGTGTTTCATATTCGACCACTTCTACAGTACTCGCCTCACCTTTTTCTATCTTTTTCTGTCTGTCTCTTTTACATCTGTGAATCTCTCACCTTTTCCTCTTCTCAAATTTTTCTAACTTTGATGTCCCTCCCCTCTGTGAAGCCCGAAAACAGCTAAAGGACTAATGATAACCTTCGAAACGCCTGCTATTTGAAATAAAAAAGTAAATAAATTTATGGATCACCGCGAATTTAACCATTCACTATTCTGCTGCGGAAAATTTGTACTCAACATAACGACATACGCCAGCATCGAACAGGATAGGGTATAGGACTTTTCCATTAGATCTCAGATTTCCCACTTTTTAGACACCGTTCCGCCCCCCCGTCCTTCAAGGTGCATTGAATTGTGCTTATTCTTTGATTGGCCTAAACGTTCATTCTCCTCGCCTAAGCTTTGATCCTTCCGAGTGGCGTTTCGGAATTATTTTAAGCGGGTAGCAAAATGACATACCATTGTCTACATCAAGTACTTGATAGGCATTGTGCTGAGAAATTTTTCAAAACAGTCAGAATTTTCTGCATTATATATATATATATATATATATATATATATGTATATTTGCTTATATATACATTCAGATAATTCAATCACATAGTGGCGTTAATCAACTATGAGTTTTGTACTGCCCAACTTGTAAAAATGTAGGTGTTCATATAAATGGCCGGTTCTTTATCTGCTTTCTGTAATTATGATCAATGATTCTCTTCTAATTTATCGGTGGAAAAAACCTTATTTATTTGTTTATTTATTTATATCAAATGGCAGGTGTTTTGTTAGTTATCATTAGCCCTTTTGCTGACTTTGGACTTCACAGTGAGCCGGAACATCAAAGCCGCAAAAATTCAAGAGGGAGGTGGGAAAGAAGAGTGATACCCATGTGTTAAAAGACAAATCGACACAGAGGTAGAGAAAAAGGTAAGGCGAGTACTGTGGAAGAGTTGGAATATGACATATAGTCGGGTCGTGGTAGTTTGGAGTCAATTGCAAGTTTATAGACTTTTGAGCCGTATGAGTATACGTTGCCAAGGGTGCACCACGTGGAGATAAGTCTCTCACACACCCCACTGGAAAGAACCCAGAGTTGTGAAGTCATTTTTGTGAGAACTAGTTTTAAAGAAAGTAAATTTCCATTTAATTTGCTACCACCCTGAATTTCTTTTAAAAATAAACCAAAGGAATTTATTCAACAGATGCTGTTTAGTGGAGTGCGGGGAGAGGGAGGGTGTGATCGAACGCTGGATTTTAAAACTCACCCTTTCACAATCTGTGATGTTAAATCCGTTTTCATTTTCAATTGCCCATTGATAACTTAATTGCAACGCTATATACGAGCAGAATTTGCTGTTTAACCAGGAAATCGATGCGCATATTAAAGTTATAAATGGAGATTAAAGTAGAAATTAATATCCAATTACAGCCAACTTCTTGTTGCTTGTAACCAGCAAAATTAACGATTACAGTTATTCCTCTAATTCTAATTTCTCCTGTGAAAAGCATAAACTCCAAGACTGCAAGGGGTAGAATTTGTCACCGACATTCATTTTATAGTTAGGCGTATTTTCGATTTTATTAATAGTTGTTCCAGCTAGTCTTTTGTATAATGCGTTACAAAAACTTAAACAAAATCAAAACGGCTCTTTATTCATAGTTTTAAGTGTAGTACAGGTTTGAATTTAAGATATATATTTTATTTAAGGAGGCAAGTAGGAATGTAAATTGGGATAATTTCAAACTTTGCATTCATACCTCTTAAGGTCTTAGCATTTGCCTTCAAGCAAAGTAAAAAAACTATTTTGGCAACTGGGTCTTATTTTCTTCGAAACGGCTGAGGTTACTCCAGACTCTTCGATTGGTGACTCAGTACACTGGAGCGTCTGCTTAGTAGTTAAAGCTCTTATTCCAAATTTTATTTGTTTAATGATAACTGTCAAATAGCAGGCCTTTGATAGTTATCATTAGCTCTTGAGCTGACTTTGGGCTTCAAAGAGGGGAGAAACATCAACGCGAGAAAAGTCGTGAGGGTGGAACAGAAGAGTGATTCAAAGAGGTAAAAGAGATAGACAGACACAAAGGTAGAGAAAAAGGTAAGGTGAGTACTGTTGAAGCAGTAGGGTCATGGCAACTTGAAATCAGAAGTCAACTGCCGGTTTGTTGACTTTTTGATGAATGAGAAAACGTTATAATAATAAAGTGTGCTTGTTAATGAAACGGGTAATGAATTTACCTCTAATGCTGCAATTGATAACCTAAAAATCACCAAAAGTAAAGACCAACTGAATGAAGTCAAATTCATAGGTAAGTTATGGAACTTTTATTTTTCAAAAAGGAATATTTATTTTTTAACCACAATGATGTTGGTAAAGAGCATTCGAAACGACGCTGAACTGCGCCAACATACATGA